AGCAGAGTCGATAGCAGGATGAGCTATTTGGCAGTGGCAGAGACGATTTGGCAGGGTTTTAATGGACCAACCAACATAGTCAACTCTGCTGCTTAACCCACTCTGCTAGACAGATTAAATAAAAAAATAAAAAAAAAGTAGAAAGTAAATAAAAAATTAATGCAATAATTTGCAAAAATGGAAGGATCACATTTCAAAAAAGGTGGGACAAGGGCAACAAACTGTTGTTTTTAAAGTTTTGTCTGCGTCTGTAGTTTTGGAAACATGAGTGTGAAGTTGGACCATTGGACCACACGTACAATACACGGACGTGGTGACAGCACTTCTTTATTTTACATTCGGTTTTACTGTTTTACAATGGGACACAGACACTCCCGCTCCGCTGTCACGTCCGCTCTCCTCCCCTCCGACTGTCACTGTGAACATAAAGAGGCACAATCACATTCACATCCCCTGTTCACCCCCGCCCCTGCGCTGCCCCTGGAGCTCGCAGCATCACCCTTCCTCTGCAGCCGGCCAGAGACCACACCCAAGGCACACAGATATTTTTTGCTCAACAAATTACAATTGTGATGGACCGAGTTGAAAAACAGGAGGAGCCCCGGAATTATTAGAAAAATATAGTTTCCATTTATTTAACCCCCAAAAATTATATTTACAAGACTAATAAATGTTGAGCTCATAAAAGAGGTCAAAGAAACAAAACTGAACTCAGGCAACGACTGCAACCTTAACAAACCAAATGACTGCCCAAACATACATAATTGACCTAAACATGAAATGACATACAAGGGTATATATAATGGCTGATCAGACCATTGTGACACATGAGGGGTAACAAACAAAACACAATCATAAATCACAAACGATGCAGTACAATCTGGTTTGTTAATAAACTAAACACTAAAGAAGAAAATCAAAAACCCCATTAAACCCTAAACTCAAATATTTAATTAAATACAAATACTTTGTTTTTAAAGTAAAGAAAACACATTCCCCCCTTCAGCAGGAAGTGGTGGTGTGGTCCAATTATCTTCCTTTGTATTTAATGGTTTCAAACCCTGGTTACCATTTTTTGTCCAGCAACGCCCAGGGATGATGGCAGGTAAGAAATAAAAAGACAAAAGTTAGTCAGAAAGCAAAGAAATTAAGTAGTATGAATACATAAGTAAACTAAATGTGCGCGCTTACAAATAGAACAAATGTATCCAAACCAATCAATGAAGTTATTGGCAACTAAAATGTATTACTATGTTCAAAATGAAGAATGAAAATACAAAAGTTACCGACTTTAGAGTGTGGCCACGGGTTTGGCCATCACAACAATATTCCAGTGATGTTAATAATAACATTTTTGGTTTGGCAACATTTTTTACATCAGACATCTTGTAGCCTGATGTAAAAATACTAGATCCTTGTTACAGCCCAGAGGACCTGGCAAACATGTTAGCCCCTGTGTTACTGAAATACATCAACCTTTTAGGGATGCTATAGACACATGTAAAGTCTGCTGAAGAAATAAACAACGATGAGACAGCTGGAAGCTAGCTAAAACTTTTCATGTTTCCATATATTTTTTGGATACAAGTTAGTTAAATGCAATTCAATCTAGGTGTCAAGGCTGTCTGCAGGCAGGCAGGATAAAGGACCCAATATGCAGATTCGTGGAGGCGGAATCCAAAGTCCACTGCTTTATTGCAGGCCAAGTCACAAAACGGAACAAAACTTAAACTGAACCATGAACGCTGAGAACAGAAACACACAGGCCAATCTGAGGGTACAACACAACACTGACACAAAGAAACATAGGGCTTAAATACAATGAGGAAGTCATCAAGGAATTAGAGACAGGAGGGGAATACAGCTGGGAGGAATGAGACCTAATGAGAAAGGGGGAGGGACGCTAGGTAACGCTGACATAAGACATAACCCTTCAAAATAAAACAGGAAACAATTCACAAAGACGCAGACTAAGAAACACAGACTTTACACAGAGGGAACACACGGGCAAAGGCTAAGCACAGAACTAAACCTTAAACCAGAATAAAGTGAAACATAGATTTATAATAATAATCAACAAAGCACAACATGAGAATCAGAAAACAATCCATAATGCAAAATTAAACGAAAACATAAGAACTCAGAATCCTGGGTCAGAATGACCCAGAACCGTGACACTAGGATTTTCTTGTCATCCATCCAAGCATCCATCCATCGCCTTCTGTTTGTCTGGGGTCAGGTCATCAGGGCAGCAGCCTAATGGAGGATGCCCAGATCTTTCTCTCCCCACCCACCTTCTTCAGCTGATCCGGGGGAACACCAAGACGTTCCCCTGGATCAAGGTGAATGCAGTTTATAAACTGAGTTCATGAGTTTTAAAAGATATACTCATAATTTTAGTGTCAAAGGTTTTTGCAGTGATTTACACTAATAAGGAAATGTAAAAATATCCACACTATGGACAGTAATATCTCAAACCAGCTGTTATCTTTTTCATATTTGATTTCTCCGTACACAGAAGCAACAACCACTATAACCCTTCAATGCGTCTCCATTTCTACCCTCTTTCCTCCAGAAATGGCCGTCTACCAGCAGCCCACCCAGGTAGTGACGGTCACCACCACTAATCTAAACCATGGGACTTGGAGCACTGGCCTCTGTGATTGCTTCAGTGATATGGGCACTTGTAAGTTAATCTAGCAAACTCTATAAACAGTAGTGGTTTTTGCATTAACACTCTCCACAGACTTTTATTCAGAGAGTCTTGAGTATCTGAGGATCTAAAGTTGGGGCTGAAGTCAGCATATAAAACACAGGATGCACAAGCCAGTAATGAAAGGACAACTTATTCAAAGTGAAGTAAACGTGTTTCTGCATATTCTTCTTCTTCCGTCAAGGTTGCTGTGGCCTTTGGTGTTTTCCCTGCATGCAGTGTGATACAGCCAACAAGCACGGCTGTTGTTGCTGCCTCCCAGTCCTGGATGTATGCTGCGTGGTGTCGTCTTTGCTCCGCAAGTCCATCAGAGAGCGCTATGGGATCTATGTAAGGCTGGGAGTGGGGGAGGGTCAAGGTTATTATTGTTAGCTAAAAACTAAACTGAGGAGAGATAACCTATAACAAAGGCCGTGTGAGGTGTTGAGGAACCAGGACACCCTGATAAGAAGTGGGCTCCTGGAACAAGACAGCATAAATGGGTCCTCGCTTACTTGCTAACGGAGATTTGCCACATTAATGCGGTTTTAACTCGCTAACGCTGACAGGACTAATATATATATTAGTCCTGTCAGCGTTAGCGAGTTAATGCGGATTGCCCCGTGCAAGGCGCATTAGCATTAACGTGTTAGCGCCTTGACCCTCCCTCTTAACTATTCAATTATAATTAAAATTTAAATCATCTGCGTACTTAGTTTTCATGAATAGTTGGATGGGCCATTGCTATGAATTGTGCGATTGTGCTTCATTCTTGTCTCTCACTCTTCTCCTCTTCCTCTTCTCCATCCTGCAGGGCTCGTGCTGTGATGACTGGTGTAAAGCATTTTGCTGTTACATGTGTTTCTGGTGCCAGATGCATCGCGAGGTGAAGATCAGAACGGCCTGTAGCTCACCATCTCAATGATGGTCACCACTCAAGTTGTCAGAGGACAGTATGTAACCATTTTGGCGGTTTGTTGGGTGAATATGACAAAGTTATTTGGTATAATTTTAAGATGACACAATAAATATGAAAAGTTGATTTCTGCTTCTACACTATTAGGCACAAACAAAGAATTTAGCCTGACACACAAGCTGCTTTTTCATCGCCACTTTAAGAATTTCTAAGTTCCTGTGCTCGTGTGGTTCAGTGCAATATGTAGAATCAAGATTTTTTTAGCTTTGGCAGCACGTTGGGTATAAAATATAATTGAGAACGTTTGTTTACTCTGGCCAGAAAAATCTGTGTAATTTCACATGCTCACAGTTATTGTAATCTTTCTGAACTTTTGCTGAAATAAAAAAATATTCATCTTTTTTGCTCAGGTTTCTGTCTTGATGTCAAGTCTGAATATTTGAGTCCTTGCCTCTGTGTTAATTAGCATCCCCTCATGTCTCCTCACTCTCAGCTCTCTAATATTTCTAGTATGTTTTTTTTCTAGTATAGGTTTTGGTTAGTTTTTTCGGATCCCCTTTACATTCTTGCATTTTTCATTTGCTCATCGTCCAAATAAATGGTTCATTTTCAGTTTAACCTCACCTTCCAATGAGTGTGCATTTTGGATCATGAACACTCACCTCTTCAAGTTTTGACAACTCACCCTTGACTTCTAAGTTGGATTCAGCTTATTTTAATTGTATTTATCACATATCATAGTGACAGATCATAATTGCTTTATATTGTAAAGAAAAGACCCAAGATTGTGTTCAGCTGTGCGTTTCAGTCAGGTAAAGACAATACTGTTCTCCACCAAGATACCCGATCTAGCACCACTCTGCTTAACAAGCTCATCATTAGATTTTAATCACATGTAAACTTCTCACAAAGCACAAAGAAAAAGCTTCCAACTAAACCCACAAAACCTCTGAAAGTTCAGGGAAACCCACGAACCCATGAAAGCAGTTATAGCTGTGCTCACAACCACACAAAGTTATCAGGTCATGGGGGTGTATTTGTTACACATTTAAATCCCTAAAAACCGACAGTTAGGGGATGCAACATGTTTATAACAGCAGCAACAAAATGGATCTCCTAGGGTAGTGATACAGAAACTGTCATTTTTTTTTAAAAAATAATGAAAAAATAAATAAGAAATGCAAATGGCCTCATGTCCCAAACATGTTTTATGAGGAATACCTGGAAGGTGAATATATTACAACTTTTCATTTTAAAGATTTTGAAGAAAAACAACATGTGGGGTCATTTTTGACCCCACTAAGGGTTAAACACATAATGTATGATTGGATAAACCTTTAGTAACCAGAAGAAGCATTCAAATAATATATTTTACAAGTCAAGTGTGGACTTACGGTCCTTTGTTTTCTTAGCAGTTGTAAAGTGATCTAGAAGAAAAGGGGAGGTGTCACACCGGTTCCTGTATTGTGTAGCATGCTGGGATATTACAATAAAAGTGTATCAAATGAGTGTAAAATGTCGCTGTCTTGTCAAACTGGGTTGATTTTCAGCAGATCACACAGGAATAAGAAACAAACAATCAAACAGTTACAGAGCCAAAAATAACCATGATCGTGGTGGGCATGCACCGTCATAAAAGCACCACTGAAACGGCCCATTATCAGGAAGAGGACGGCGACTGGAGAAAGAGGAACTGCAAGACTGCCGGCGTTTGGAACGAAGCAGGAGTCTCTAATTGCCGCGGCAAGTGGTTGTCGGTATCGCGCGTAGCTGAGCGGCGGCGGCGGCGGCGGCGACGGCGGCGACGGCGACAACAACAACGACGACGGCGAACAACAACGACGACGGCGGTGGCGACGGCTTGTTAAGGATCTCCGGCGGTAATACACAGGAGCTGTGAGCGCACCATTTCCGCACCCAGCGTCCGTTGGCATCGAGCTACAGAGCTGCGCGAAGCGTTCGTTCGTCACGAGCATTTAACTGATTTCAGTTAAATACAAAGCTCTTGTGTGAGCGGCTTTAGACCGACCCGAGCAGCTGATCGCACCGGGCGTCACATCATAACGTGCTACGAAACTCATCGTCAGTGTGAGCGCGCGGCTCTGACCACAGCTGGGTTGCTGTAAGGCCATCGCTCCGGGAAGCACCAGCGGAGACCTGCGTACCGCGACCAATAACCAAATACCTGATATCATCATCACTTGGCTCGGTGCTCTGAGAGAAACATGCCAAACTCAACTTTACAGCTGCGTCGATTCGGTGAAAGCAGTAGCCGTGCGCTCTTTCCACTTTCACGGGCTTTCACCTCATTCTTCGGCCTGAGCCGCAGAGTTGTCTTTACCTGTGGACACATTCTCGGCTCGGTAATGCGCGGTATTACGCTCCATTCTCTCACTCTGACCATTCAGCACGGTAATCATGTGATAACCGTCGACATCCAAAGAGACGCAAACACGGGAAATCACACCTTTGCTCTCAGGGCCTGACAGGTGAACGCAAATGACCCAAATATGCTTCAGCGGGAAATCTGCATCGTAACCAAACGCTGTATAACCGGACGTGCACCTCGCCAGCAATCAAACTACTTGGGATGATGCAGTCAGCGATTATCGTCATTGACCAGTTCAGCACCATCGATTCCTCCAGTGCTCCAACTCAAATTAAACGGAAGAAGAAAATGACTCTGTACCGCTGTTTTATGTGTGCTTACATAATAAAGAATTTACTTCATTTTCCCAGTTTCAGTCGTTTTGTTTTTTTTGTCGTCTCCACTTTTCACCTGTTGAAACTTTGTCCTGGTTTTTCAATAGCCGTGAAATGACATCCCATAATGCAAGGGCGTAGATTTGGTTTTGGTATTGTTGGGGGCGGATGATTCCACCACCAAACACCTGCCCTGTTTCTTTTTTTCCTTTTCGTTTTTGCTTCTTGATAAAAAAAATTTTAAAAAAAGGAGAAATATACTTGCCTACATGCTATTCTACATGCTTTTAAACCATTTAAAATACAATTCATAGTTTTATATTGGATATATAATGTTAGTTACTATTAAACAAATGACTAGTATTTTTATACTTTAGTTTACTTACCATATTCATATAAATCAGATATATACAAAAATAAAAATAGCTTCAAATACAGTCATGACAATAAAAGAATATGACTTTAAGGACTTAACAACATTACTTCATTTATACAATAACATCTCTGATACATTAGCACTAAGGGAACACTGAATGACCTGGTGGTTTTTGTCCATAAAACTACTCATCTAAGATTACAACAAAGTAAAAGATCTCTCAGCAAAATTATGTTAATTAAATTAACATTTTAGGCACTATTGCCCCGATCAAGTCAGTGAGCTGGATGTTTACTCTAAACATGAATACTACTGTTACAGCAACAGACATGGACTACTGGTGTCCCACACAACAACTCGATGTCCACTATGTGAAGGAGCCAAACACATGCCTTCTCCTCTCATTAACTGAGATGAATGTGGCATATTTGTTACATGTATACTGTCCAGTTCTCCTGGTGGACATGGTAAGCGTTATTCATGGTTACATACATTTTAGACTGATGTGGCCAAAGCTAAACGATGTGCCGGGAGGTTGCTGTTCTTCCCGGCTCAGATATTTGAAGTTTGCACAGCTACATTCTCGCCTGAAAAAATTTTAAAAGTATATTTTGCAACCCAGGAAGAGAGGGACACTGAAATTCGGGATTGTCCAAGAAAAAACGGGAGGGTTGGCATGTATTACCTTGCATAGCCCTGTAACGTTATTATGTGACCTTTTATGAGTGACTGACTTTAAGTCACTTACAGGTTTCTTTGAAAAATACTTTATTATATCCAGGTTCTTTTTGCTGCCATCCTCCTCTCCTCCTAGCAGGTCTTCACAATACAGGATTGCCGCTGCTAAAACTAGAGCTCCCCGAAAGGCACAGCCAATCACATTGGCCATATTTGTCACATGATATAGGACTCCAGTACGCAATTTAACTCTTTCTGCACTGCTGGGTGAATGAGACGTTGACAGATCGCTTTTTTAAAAATTATTTCTATCGGTTTGGTTTTTTTACTCGAAGAGATAATTATTGGTGATGACATTCAATATCGTGATATTGGTGGGGACATGTCCCTTCCGTCCATGCCAAATCTACTCCCTTGCCATAATGACTGTCTAATGTGCTTCCACACTAAACAGCTAAAGTAAGGGGGGGGTAAGGGCAGCTTGAAAAACCAGGACCTCATTTCTCTAATCAAATAACTACTTTCATTAGCTGTATTCAGTCTCGAAGCCATGGATTAATCCTCATCAGAAGATCTGAGTGTGAGTTGCTGTGTTTTAGCCTTCAGTGTATAAACTCTCTATGCTACTTTATGCATGTACAGTCTGTACTTCAGACTCAGCACAACAGCGACATCTAGTGGTTTGATACACTTACAGCAGCCCGTTAACTCCACTGGATGAATGATCATTGTCCATTCATGCATTAACTGGAGGTAACTGGAGCTGTCTGCACGTCCAGACTTTGTTTTCGACAAACCCTTTATATTTATTTCCCTTCATAATAGACTATGTGCACATTAGCATATGCTACTTCCGGTGCGAACTCCTGTGGGAGCTTGTTTCCGGTGTCCTATTCGCGCCCTGTTTACGGTCCAAACAAGTTAAGCATAATGAATCAAGCGCGATTTACATTTCTATAGATGTCTGGCATTTACCCAATATGTCTGTAATGATGTTCATCGACTTGTCGATATTTTTTTCCCCGTGCCTCAGAGCAAAGGAAAAGGGATCATGTTATAGTTCTAGTATCTGTCAGTGCCCGTTTATCCGGGTTATCTTCTAAAATAACCAGCGATAGTAAATCAGTACCATTTTATTTTTGACATGCAAACGTTCGTGGACATCAGGACATCAGTACTGCACTTCAGAGTCACATGCTAGCATCATGCAGCGATTCTGTACTGTAAAGGAGACGTCACGGGGAGATGTCTGCAGTGATCAGGACGCAGGACACGTGTGATGAAAAAAAAAAGCATCGACTTGCACTAAAAATCTGCAACCACGAGGTACAGGTGAACATTTATAGCGAGGGGCCATGAATTTTGAAGGTAATCACAAATCTTTAATACTAATGTATAGAACCGTTACCAGCAATCATTCATTTTTGTTGGCTTTTTCATGGTTTGTTAACACATATCGACATAACGGGAACATCTGTTTGATATTTTCACCTTAGTTTGAATGCGAGCATTTGCCTGTTTAAATCATAAGACTCAGTTACAGAATGTGTTCGATGTGGACGATGTTCTCTGCTGCAGTAATGCAGTTCTGTGTGAGTGATGTAAAAACGATCGATCTGAACTCTTTAAACGTCAAAATTGATATTA